AAACATTTTGAACAGACACACATTCACAACTTTGCCTTATATATATGGCGAATACAGGCGTAAATCGAAGATAACTGTGAACATAGCTCTGAATGCATATGCATTACTTTATGCAGATTGTTGAATTCCATCTAAATCATACGAGTTATAAGACTGTGGCAAGACGGATGCTCATCTATAAAGGCACCCACACATGGTATGCTATATAAAAATGGCAATGAGTGCTGGATGAAGTTCTCTCCATGCCACGTTTGTCCTGGTGGTTGTTTTCACCATACTTTACCACTTCTGGTCAGTTCAGCTTGGTGAAGGTTGGAGCCCGGGATCAGTCCAGGTATCACTCGCCACCAATGTCAATCATGTTGAGGAATTCAACTCCCAAGTCGCCGAGTTTTTCATAACGCAGTACGTCAAATACTGCACCACTCTCTCCATGCGTTATGTTATTTTACTGCGTTTTAACGAACCAGAAAAACGGCGCAGTGGTTAGCGTTAAGAAGCACCGCATTAAAAAACCCGAATACCTGAGATGCATTCCAGGCCACGGCTAATGTCATTTATCTCAGGAATCGTGAACAGGCATTGTAAATACAAAAATACAAGATCACCCAACCAATTTGTCCTAAAACCTGTTTTTTTGGTCGTTCCGGATGTCAACATTAACTTGTGGCCTGGAAATGTACGAGCATGCAGACAGAGACACTCATTTTTACAAAAATACGAATGGTGTACGTTAATACTGAAAATATGAATGCAGATACACATTCAAAGTTAACTTATTTGACAAAGCAACGAATGCTTGTACAGTACTTATCTTCGTACCCTCAAAGTTAACTTATTTAACAAAGCAACGAATGCTTATACAGTACTTATCTTCGTATCCTCATGCCACACCCATTAGATAAAAACACAGTAATTCAGATGAAGAAAATTTGTGGCGTTGTGAAATCACATGATCTGCCTTGTGAAACAAAAACTGGTCTGGGAAGTTTTCATTATGCTCCTGCAAACACACTACTGATGACAGTATACATAATAGATTTGTATTCAGACTTTCTTAGTGACAAAAAAATACATAGACCCCCGTATAGCCTGAACAGACTGTTGGGGTAAGTGCTGTTAGCAAGCACCTATGAAGGCCGACTCGGGCACACGAGTTATATGGAAACCATCTGTAATTTGTCATGAAATCTGATTTGAGATGTAGACTGACATTGCCACACAACGACTTATTTTTGGACATTATGTTATATGATTTTTGTTAAATGCACACTTTACAACAGACGTGTTTAGGTAAGTCCTCACCAGATGTATTGTGTGGTGGCAGTAATCAAATCACTAACTGAATAAACAAACAAACTCGCCTACGCAATTCTCCAAAAACACCGATGCAATTATCTTCACAGGAATTAACCAAATACCACGTGAATCTGTGTTCTGACCACACAGTCGGGTGCTTGCAAGCTTGGCACTAAGATGAGAGCTCCTCCATCAGAAGAAAATACGGCCTACCAATTTTCACGTAGATCAGTGGTTACATTTTGGCAGGCGTGGGGGCACACAGTGTTAATGTAGTGCTGTCGAGATAGGTCAATGCATTGTGTGGAGCTCATTATACGTGTGCGATGATCATAGGAATGGAAGAGGGATATATAAAAGGTAGTACTTTATAGGTTGCTAACCTAACCATTTGAAGACACTCCAGTTTCTTGCCATAATAAAAAATAGTCAGGAAGAAACTAACCAAACGTTCCAGTGTGTAACCAGAATAAGTAGTACTTTTAATTCAGTTGAATATGTTCTGGGATAAGTAAAATGCTGTTCCAATATTCTTGTATCCAATCTTGATTTGAAGCTTTCGTGACTGCAGGAATCCATACTCTTTGGTTCTTTCGGTAAAGTCACGTGGGTAGAAAAATTATACAGTGAGGGAAAAAAGTATTTGATCCCCTGCTGATTTTGTACGTTTGCCCACTGAAAAAGAAATGATCAGTCTATAATTTTAATGGTAGGTTTATTTGAACAGTGAGAGACAGAATAACAACAAAAAAATCCAGAAAAACGCATGACAAACATTTTATAAATTGATTAGCATTTTAATGAGGGAAATGAGTATTTGCAAAACATGACTTAGTACTTGGTGGCAAAACCCTTGTTGGCAATCACAGAGGTCAGATGTTTCTTGTAGTTGGCCACCAGGTTTGCACACATCTCAGGAGGGATTTTGTCCCACTCCTCTTTGTAGATCTTCTCCAAGTCATTACGGTTTTGAGGCTGACGTTTGGCAACTCGAACCTTCAGCTCCCTCCACAGATTTTCTATAGGATGAAGGTCTGGAGACTGGCTAGGCCACTCCAGGACCTGAATGTGCTTCTTCTTGAGCCACTCCTTTGTTGCCTTGGCCGTGTGTTTTGGGTCATTGTCATGCTGGAATACCCATTCACGACCCATTTTCAATGCCCTGGCTGAGGGAAGGAGGTTCTCACCCAAGATTTGACGGTACATGGCCCCGTCCATCGTCCCTTTGATGCGGTGAAGTTGTCCTGTCCCCTTTGCAGAAAAAACACCCCCAAAGCATAATGTTTCCACCTCCATGTTTGACGGTGGGGATGGTGTTCTTGGGCTCATAGTTTCATAGTTCCATTTATTTGGTATAGCCCTGTGAGCCATTCGGATCTTGAATCGGGTGCAACCGCAACAACCAAAAAAACAAAAACATGAACAAGAAAACATCTTAAAGTGACTTTATGCATGTGCAAACAGAAAATCCAGCACCGTGCACCAACGCTGTGTGCAAAAATCCCAGTGGGATGCAAGTCAAACAATAACAACATCAAGAAAACTTAGATTAAGGCCATCAGTCTAACTCCGTACTACAAAAAACAAAAACATGGCCAAACCAAAAAACTTTTAGAAATCACCAAAATAAAGCCATAAATGCAATGTAACAGTGATCATAGGAACTGTGACCGAATTTTTTACAATAAACTACATAAATAACATGTAACACCAAACCCTAAAGCCACAGCTGGCTGCATGAGTCACTCCACAAACAACAGGAGCATCAGTCGGAGTATCACATTTTTCAATGCACCTTTAAAATCAGCACACTAAATCAAAATACAGATAATACTTTGCAGCGGTCATCCGGAGCAAAACATTTTATTTTAGGCCACTGAATAGCAGTGGCAGCTAGGGGTGTACAACTCCTCTAGAGCAGTTTTGAGTGAAGATCTCATAGATAGTGATTCAAGTTGCAGTTTATTGGCAATAGCATTCCACACCCTGGGAGCATCAATAGCAAAGGCCCTTCCTGATAATTATTTATATTATAATATCATTATAATTATTTAAGGAATGTAATTTGGGAAAAATAACTTCCTGCTTTAGTCCCGGTGAGACGCATAGCACCTTGGTTTTGGAGGTATTTAGGACTAGTTTAAGAGCAACTAGCTGATGTTGTAGTTTGTTGAAATCACCCTGGAGCTTAGCAATCACGTCATCCAGAGAGCGGCCAGCAGTAATCAGTATCGTGTCATCTGCAAAAAGATTTACCCTGGAATGATCCAGGTCAGTGCTCAAGTCATTGACATAAAGAGAGAACAAGAGGGGGCCGAGGATGGAACCCTGTGGAACCCTTGTGAATACAGTTTGGGTGCGAGAAAAGAGGTAATTTTTTTACCATTTCACTGTGTTTTTGGAAAAACCGAGGCAACTTAGTTTACCAAGCAGGGTGTTGTGGTCTACTGTATCATAGGCAGCATTCCTCCTCCTCCAAACACGGCGAGTTGAGTTGATGCCAAAGAGCTCCATTTTGGTCTCATCAGACCACAACACTTTCACCCAGCTGTCCTCTGAATCATTCAGATGTTCATTGGCAAACTTCAGACGGGCATGTATATGTGCTTTCTTGAGCAGGGGGACCTTGCGGGCGCTGCAGGATTTCAGTCCTTCACGGCGTAGTGTGTTACCAATTGTTTTCTTGGTGACTATGGTCCCAGCTGCCTTGAGATCATTGACAAGATCCTCCCGTGTAGTTCTGGGCTGATTCCTCACCGTTCTCATGATCATTGCAACTCCACGAGGTAAGATCTTGCATGGAGCCCCAGGCCGAAGGAGATTGACAGTTCTTTTGTGTTTCTTCCATTTGCGAATAATTGCACCAACTGTTGTCACCCTCTCACCAAGCTGCTTGGCAATGGTCTTGTAGCCCATTCCAGCCTTGTGTAGGTCTACAATCTTTTCCCTGACATCCTTGGAGAGCTCTTTGGTCTTGGCCATGGTGGAGAATTTGAAATATGATTGATTGCTTCTGTGGACAGGTGTCTTTTATACAGGTAACAAGCTGAGATTAGGAGCACTCCCTTTAAGAGTGTGCTCCTAATCTCAGCTCGTTACCTGTATAAAAGACACCTGGGAGCCAGAAATCTTTCTGATTGAGAGGGGGTCAAATACTTATTTCCCTCATTAAAATGCAAATCAATGTATAACATTTGTGACATGCGTTTTTCTGGATTTTGTTGTTGTTATTCTGTCTCTCACTGTTCAAATTAACCTACCATTAAACTTATAGACTGATAATATCTTTGTCAGTGGGCAAACGTACAAAATCAGCAGGGGATCAAATACTTTTTTCCCTCACTGTAGATCACGACGTTTCGATTGCAACACAAGCAATCGTCATCAGGTGGGACAACCATAGCCTACTTCAGCAGTTTTTTTCTTGCCGTGGTTGTCCCACCTGATGACGATTGCTTGTGTTGCGGTCGAAACTTCGTGATCTATTATTTTTCTACCTACGTGACTTTACCGAAAGAACCCAAGAGTATGGATTCTCGCACCCACGCAACACAGTCGGAAAGGAAACATGAAAATAAGTCATCTTTTTAGATTCAGCGGGAGTAGACCAAAAGTACAACGGGAATTCTCCTCTCATATGGTAAACGCCTGTTTTATATACTTGAGCATTGTTGTAACAAATACTTCGATATGTGTTGCAGGCAGCTTACTCAAGACGCCATTGAGAAGAATCAAAACCAAATCGAGCGGGGGTCAATGGATGTCGCGATTCTTCTGAAATCCGCTGTGTGAACATTACATCTGTGAATCGCGTACTCTGCATTGTTCGCTGGAACGCTCACCTCTTCTTCACCATGGGAGAATGGAGCTTCCTGGGGGACCTCCTGGAGGCGGTGAATGCACACTCCACCATGACCGGTCGTTTGTGGCTCATGATCTTCATCATCTTCCGCGTCCTAGTCATAGCAACTATCGGCGACAACCTCTACGAGGATGAACAAGAAGCTTTTATATGCAATACCCTGCAACCAGGCTGCAATCAGGTTAGTGTTGAAAGGTCACTCATTGGACATGGGCTCAAGAAATATGGGTCAATGACTGGCCTCGTATGTAGTACTTCCATGACTGTCTCAATGCAAATATAAAATAACACCATGATGATTCACCTCTGCTTATTTTTGTTTTTGTATGTTTTCCTCGTGGTGTTCTGAAAAAAATCCCAGTGACGTGTTGATTCTAACAAAGTACCTTTGTAAAAAAAAACCCCATAGGCCTTGTATCTCACTTACAGTTTCTATTTCGTACCACAATAAGACATGCAAATCACTTCTGCTCTGTGAATGAATGATGCAACAATGCAGAATTTCCTTCAGAGAAATGGTTGGTGGTATCTGTCTTAACCCTTAAAATAACTCTAACATGTCCCCACAAATATAGTATTGTTTAAACTTGACAGTACTGTTTAGTATAATGTAATTTCTGGCAAATGTTGAGTTATCACTTTTTAGCATTTTCTCAAGGTGGTATGAATCATCATTATCATTAGTAGGAGCATGTCATGATTTACCTGGATGTATTGTATATGCACACACTGTGGTTACAGGTTATACTATGCACACACAAGTCACATACTGTGCACATATGGTGACACTTAATTTTCTCTCGGTGACAGAATTTTTTTTTTTTACTTAACCTGCTTTGCATAGCTCATCATAACTTACACACTGCTTTCATACGACAACTATATGAACGTATTATGATATATATTTTTAAACATTTGCATCGATTTCTGTTTATTCATTGTTAACAGGTCTGCTACGACAAGGCCTTCCCAATGTCGCATTTCCGCTTCTGGGTATTCCAGATCGTGGTTCTGGCTGCACCCTCGCTCTCTTTCATTGCCTTCGCTATACACAGCCAGACCAAGGAGGAGAAGGCAGAGAGGATTGTTGAAAAGAAACCATTTCAAAGCATGGAGGAACAGAAAAAGTGGGAGAAAAGCCGGTCCAACAGGGAGGCGAGAAGACACGCCATGTATGCTGTGCATGTCGTTCTCAAGCTGGTGCTGGAGATCGGCTGCCTCGTGAGCCAGTACTTTGTCTACGGGTTCACCATCAACGCCCACTTTCCGTGCGAGCGCTTCCCGTGCCCCAACAAGGTGGACTGCTTCGTGTCGCGTCCCACAGAAAAGAACGTCTTCCTCCTCTACTACTTTGTGGTGAACGTTTTCTCCGCGCTTCTGTGCTTCGTCGAGATCAACCTGATCGGGCTGAAGACGCTGCGTCGCAGGCTCAAGCACGTGGTGGGCACGGACTCGGACGAAGAATATAATCATGCTCCGCCATCATTCAGTTCCGCCGTCACCTTCCCTGACACAAAGAGGATGAACGGCCACGTCGTCAGTGTTGCCATGCAGAACATAGACCACCTCAGCGTCTCCACTCGAGACATAAGCAGGCAGCAAAACATGAGCAATGCAGCTCACGAAAATTCCACAAGCATGATGGAGCCTCTGCTCATGGAGATGCAGAGGCAGTCGGAAAAGTCAGGCAATGGTCTGATCCGGAGCAGGGCTGGCTCTCAGTCAGTGTTGAGCACCTGAATGATGAGACACCTAATCGTGCTATGAAAAGCAGACAAATTATACAATGAAACATTCTCTAGACATTCCACCTCTCCATTCCATACATTACTTCATCCCCATCTGCTAGAATATTTAGAAAAGTTTCATTTTATATCTCGCAGAAAATGGTGGATACGACAAGCCTCTGAGATGCACCCGATTTTAGACCCAATGGTGTTTTCTGAATCCCTACACATGATAAAATCTGTTTTTTTCTCATAATATTGCCGTAAAATAATGTTATGTATAATTCATTCGTGTAGGGTATGGTGGAGAGGTAGGCGATGGAAGGTGAAAATGGGTTAATGCTAGGTAAGTTTCAAACATTATAATATGAAACATTTTCTCAAGAAGATTATTGCTGAGAATAGGTTATCTGGCAACAATCATTTTGTGTTAAGATGTTAAAACACCAAACTGAAACCTTTTACAAGGAATCATCATGTCTGCATTAACCACATATACTTGTGGTCTAACACCATTTGAGTTGTCTCTGGTGTGGACCAATCAATTTCAAAGACAATGCATATATTATCAGAGTATGTTTTTTGTTTGCATTCTGACTACAAGTTTATGTGGTTAATCCAGACATGATTCCTTGTAAAAGGTTTCAGTGTGGTGTTTTAACATCTTAACACCTTTGGTTTTTTTCGGTAAGTCACGTAGAAATAAGAAAAAATAAAATTACATGTTAAGATTTGATTTGGTGCTTTCGTGACTGCAGGAATTAATCTTAGGTTTTTTCGGTAAAGTCACGTAGAAATAAGAAAAAATAAAATTACATGTAAAAAAATAAAAGTACATGTAATAAAATAAATAATAATAAAATTACATGTGATTTTATTTTTTCTTATTTCTACGTGACTTTAACGAAAAAAAAAACAAAGATTAATTCCTGCAGTCACGAAAGCACCAAATCGAATCTTAACACCTGTTTTGTTGCCAGAAAAAGGGGGAAAACCTATTCTCATATTTTGGTACTGGCAAAGAGGTCCCATAAAGATTATTGGTGTTTTATGACTATGCATTGATAACATTAAGAGTTTAATAAGAATGCGGTAACAACAGATGAACTGTTATCGGAATTCGTCATTTTGCGCGGAGTAAATTTGCACCAACATGTGAGAGTAATTCGTAATTAGCGGTGAGGGTGTTGATTGGTCCTTGGGGCATTTGCACCGAGCCCCTTCAAGCAAACATAACAAAGGGATAAACGATAACAATAACGTGTGAAACAACGATTGACTAGTGTATATATATTTAAATGACAGTTGATCCAATGCTGGATGAAGGCCTCCCCATGCCGTGTCAGTAATGGGGCTTGTTTGGCCATACTTCACTATACTGGCCAGTGTGTTCAGATAATAATCACCCCCCCTCTGATGTTAGCCATGGGCTAGGAAATAACACTCGGGTTTATGGGTTTCATAGTTCAGTGCGCTAACCAACTCCATCATGGTTCCAACCCCATTGCCTGTATACGCGAGGTTTAAAGGTGTAAAGTCTAACACCTGAAGAATGTAGTGACGAATTGGGGGGACAGGGAGCAAGCAAGGTATGTGAGCTTACACCAGCTGTTCAATCACCAGTGCTCACTAGCGGTCGTGAGATCAATACTTTAATTTGCTGTGCCAATTGTTTTTATGTTCAACATTAACACAACGTGAACCCATTGGATTCTGCACTATTGGAAGTTAATAAAAAGACAATGGAGTGATTAATACCACTCTTGATGCCTCACACCCAAGTGCCGGAAGTGGAGGTGCCATACGCATTGTATTTGAGATGATCTGATGTCCTTAGTAGTTGTCACTGTCGAGTCATATAGGAGCATAGGATAAATGAATGTGATACTGTATTATATTTAACTTCATCACATTTCACTCTAACACTCACAAACCTTAATTTCAATGACTGCATTGTGCCTTAACTCATATTTTACGTGGATCAAGAGTGAGTTTGTGAATTTCATTATCAAGCATGTTAACCATCAAGTAGTAGTAAAGAACTTAGTACTTGTTTCCAAACTGACAACGAATTAATTGAGAACCACAGTCCATGCACGGTGTTCAAAGTGAGTTTGTTGCTTAAAAGACTTGGCAAAAATGTCATTCATGCCTCGTAACCCTTTGCACAAAGGGACGCGAGTGAAGCAGTGAATCGGACTGTACATTTGCTTCCACGTAATGCAGATGCATTAGCATATATAATGACAGTTTTGCTACGTCCCAGAGAGACATGTTCGCCTGTATTCAGGGTATATTTATAATGGCTCACAGTGGTCCACGATGAAATCAAACGTTTGTTGAAATATATCGGTTATGTGAAATAAACTAATTATGTGAACTTGACTTTTAAAAATGCAATGTTATACAGATGCATTTCATACAAAGCAACCTAAATGATGATGTTGTAGTGCATGACAAATGACTGATATATTTTTTTAAGTGTGGCGTGTGAGAGATGGAGTGCAAGGTTAGACATAAATTAACCTGAGCATAAGATACATTTCGTGCCATTGTATTTCATATTAAGGATTTTTACTGTTTTATATTAATATTTGTAATGAAGATTATGATTTTTGGAGTCTTACTTGAGCTATCCAGCAAACATGAACAAACAACTGCCTACATGAGATTAACAGTGGTTAGCTGTATGAGGGAAACAATCCAATTGTGTTTAAAAATATATATATTATAGTGAGCAGCATATAATGTATAATGTCAAGCTGAGTATGTGGGTATGCAGGGGTGGATTGAGATGTATATGTATGCTGTTAAGAAATGTCACGTATCATTTTTCTTGCTTATGTGTTTTCAAGCGTACATTTCATTTGAAAAAAATAATCATATTTGTTACAATTAAGTGTACTTCTGACATTTCATTATTTTCATTTTAAGGATGTTCATATTAATCTTAACTTTTGAAAGTAATGATTGAATTATACCTTCAAAAATAAAGTTCCTTTGAAAAAAAAATTCAGGGTCCATGATGATCAGGAGATGGCAGAACAGCAAATGGTAATGTCAATTGTTCTGCGCTGAGCTCTGCATATTATCCCTTCGTATGCGTGGTTTTCTGTGGGTGCATAACATGCTAATTATAGCGAGTGGTTTACAAAAGGAAGTACCGATTTGAAGCTTTCGTGACTGCAAGGATTCATCTTCTTTGGTTCTTTCGGTAAAGTCACGTAGAATGAGAATAAAATAATAAAATAACACAATAAAATTCTCACGACGTTTCGGCCACAACGCAAGCGGCCGTCTTCAGGTGAAAGGGAGAAGAACTTGAAGCTCTGTCGTCCCGACAGTTCTGTACCTTTCACCTGAAGACGACCGCTTGCGTTGTGGCCGAAACGTCGTGAGAATTTTATTGTGTTATTTTATTATTTTATTCTCATTCTACGTGACTTTACCGAAAGAACGAAAGAAGAAAAGGGAAGTACATTCGTTTTCTTAACATTTTATTCATACCAAAAGAGTCAGCAGCGTTTCACTGTCTGCACTTGCAATATATCCGGGCATACTAGGCAGCCTTAATAGTAAAATACAGCAGACTAAATGTACAGTTTTTTTTGTAAATCCACTGCCTTTCATATTGGTGTGCATTTGTGGGTAGCTGTGGCACATTGGTTTGTACATTTTGCTATGAATCCAGTGACTTATATTTAATTACCTGGAAATGGCACCTATGTATGTTGAACTTCTTTCGCACCGTATGTAGCTGTGCTAATCAGAGGTGACGCACACATCAGAGGCACCTATTCCGAGTGCACCCCTTGGGCGACACAGCCTTTAACGGGTGCTTTGCAAGGCGTGTAACTTGAGATAAGGATTGGGGGGGATCAGATTTCATGACTTGTGTTCAAGGGCGGTGGCCTCATTCCCCTGGTAGAAAGGGTTCGGGGAACTCTTATGCTCGAGACCCCATGGTCTCAATGAGGAATGATTTCATCGCTTTGCTCACGTCAGCGAGCCTATGGTCCCCATCTCGGTTGTCACCGTTCGAAGTCCGGCACCCACCTTGTGAGTAACGCCCTTCTCTGGAGGGGGGTGAAATGAATGGGTACAGGTCGGCACTCTACACCTCCACAGTCCCAACGAGGCAGAGTACCAAGGGGTAACCAACCAAATACAGATGTGAAAAACTGGTTGCCGCAACGCATATTTGTTGCCTAAGCACTCCTGATGATGATGTTGGTGGTGGGGGTTTGTGGATCATCAGTAGCTGCAGCAGCAGAATTATCGTCATATTTATTAAGCATCACTCATCAAATTTCGATTTAAAGCTTTCGTGACTGCAGGAAATCATCTTCTGGGTTCTTTCAGTAAAGTCACGTAGAATGGAGATAAAATAATAAAAAAATAGAATATTCTATTATTTTTATTAATAGAATATTCTATTTTTATTATTTTTTATTATTTTATCTCCATTCTACGTGACTTTACCGAAAGAACCCAGAAGATGACATCACTCATCAGTTTAAATTTGTCATTGCCATTATCATATAGCTTTACCTACATTGATCATGATAATTATAATTTTCATTAGAACCACGAACATTTCTTTACATCCAAGTAATTGAATGAATTGCTAAACACCATTTCCAACCAACCTCCCCATACCTTCACAAGCACTGATGTCTTCTGCTGGCCTCCTATGGACATTTCTGACCCATGTCGAGCCAGCTCCTCCCCTGTCTCCTCGCCCCACCCTCCCCCGATGGTTCATTTCATCCGTAACACCTGCGATTTACATGGTTGACTACGTACAGTGCGAAAGAAGTTCAACATACATACAGAAGGAAGCAATCTTTACTTTTCTTTAAAAAAATGGGGTTCGTGCGTGTTTTAGTTATTTTCCCATCCCAATTAATACTGACAATGAAACCGGTGTTAAGATGTTCAAACGCCAAAGAGAAACACTTTGCGAGGAATCACGTCTGCATTAATCAAGCGCACTTGTGGTAAGTTAGTTCATTTTTTTCCCACCGGATGAGGACTCAAAAAACACGGATCGTGTCATATGGGAAAGAGCGAACTGTCACCAAAATTATGAAAGAAATCACGTAAAAAAACGAGCAAAGCAATAAAGTAAATAGAAGTCAGAGGGGGGAAAAAAACCAAACAAATAGAAATTAACAGCAATCGCATTACAAGAGAAATTGGGAGAAAAAAAAATTCTCATGGGAAGACATTGTGAAGCACTTTCATGTGGCATCGTCTTCTCGCAGACTTTAGCTCAAAGTCTTTATTGTAGGTGTCATACTGCGATTTTCATTCATGATATATATGCATTTTCCATTTCCTGTGGCTGATTCCATTAAAATATATATATATAATGGCTACATAACACATTCAGCATTAGCGCTATTGTGAATAATATAATTAACATATTTTAGACAGACCAACATGCCCCATCCATTTTTGTGTAGCTCCACATAAAAAAGTAGTGTTTTTCCCATATCCCCCGCCAAAGAGACTGTATGTCGAATCAGTGCTGCTAAAATTATCCACTCCCAAAAGGTTGTGTGGCTGGCTGTTGAGATGCGTAAACATATATGAACTTTTTATTGTGGAGGAAAACATTTTTTTACTGGTCTCACGCAACCCCGAATCAACCTTATGCCCTCTGCTGGCCACTCTCACGCACTGCTTATC